GCTATGTTGATACCAGAGACGTATGAGACGTCTCCGGGGGGTGTGCTAGCTGAACTCCGATGCCATGTGAATGACGTTGTGGGGTGGAGTCCGTCTCCGGAGAGTGAGGGGAAAGTCGGCACTCCGACTCAGCACCTGCCACTCGTGGCCTAGTAGGGCGGCCCTAGGCGAGCGGACTCGTCATCTCGCATCTGGCGCGGGCCTATACGGCAGTAGGCCACGCCCAGAACCTAGCGGGGCAGCAACGAGTGGTGTCATGCCAAGGTGTCGCAGGCCGATCAAAGGGATCAGCCATCTCGCGGTTATCCCAAGGTCCAGAGTCGAACTGGACGCGTCGAGCCGGACACGTAGGGAAGGTCACCCGGGTAGTCCGATGAGAATCGGGGCCGGGCTGTGGGGCCCAGGGAGACACGTGGCGTAGGGGGCACACGGGTGATGGAGTATGGAGACTTGCCTCCCAAGAAAGCCAAGCCTTTGCTCGGGGTGTGAGCGGTCTCATGTCAAAGCCACGATGACAGCATCAGCGGAAAGGTCTCCGGAGATGCCCCCGGAATCAATCCAGGGATCATGTGCCGCCTAAATTCCGGTGGAGTTGTCACATGTCTGCCAAAATCTAGGCGGTCACATGATGTCGTGGTGGGGGTGCGGTTTAAGCAGGAGACAGAGGAGGCGAGGTGCATGGTGATGGCAGAAGGTGCGGAAGGGAAAGTCATCGCACCGGCAAAGACACTATGATCAGTGTCTTTGGCAGTAAGAGTGGGGAGCATGCAGAGGTAATGGCCATCGCAGCGACAACCGCGGAAAAGCGGAATCGGAATCGGAATCGGAATCCGGAGTCGTTTTGATGCCATCAGGGCGCTCCGCATGGCAGGGGAAGCCCATTCCGACAGGTGGCTGGCAGCAGGAATGGCTAGGGACAGACCAGCAGTGGCCGGAGAGGCCAGCATTAGCCGTGGGTGAAGGGAAGGAAGGCGGGGCCACGGTCGGAATCGGGGGGGAAGGGGGTCCGGAAGTGGTTCAGGACGGCCCGGGGCCATAGGGCGCGGGGCGTGGGAAAGCTAAACCACGGCCGGAGGAGAACACCAAGGGCCGGGCAGGAGGAAGTATTGAGGCCTCACGAGGACCAAAGTGTTCGAAGGGGGCTGGGGCTGTGCAGCGCAAGGTCGGGTGGGGCCGGGACGGAGCCATCTGTCGCAATCCACCAGGAGCCTCCTGCATGCAGCCCCTCCGGGAGGCCACCTCCAGGTTACCGGCAGGGGGCGTCAAAGACTGCGGGCCCTGGCAACGGAGTTGGGAGGTGAGGTCCGTATTGGTGGGCTTGTTCTGCTGTAAGGGCAACCTCGCGAGGCTCGAAATCAGAGTCCTGAGCAGAGGGGGAATCCTTAGTGAACTACTACAACAGGAAGGGACGCTACAGACTCACCTGAGCAGAGGGGGAATCCTTAGAGAACAAGCCAAGGAGCCCTCTGCCCAGGTGCACTACTATATACCAGTGACCGGAGTAATGATAGAGTGACTGCATAGTGACGGATGACGGATGGAAGAAGTCAGGCATCGCTAATGGACCCTAGGTGAGTGTCGAGTAGCCCTTGAAGCTCCGGAGAGGCAGGTTTGGGACCGTGATGCCAAGGGAGGGGCCCAGGCATCCCTAGAAGGCCTAAGAAGGGCTTCGGGAGGTCCAGGCTGCCTCTGGGCGTCTCCGCTTGTGACCGTGACCGTGACAACCGGAATCGGAATCGGAATCGGAATCGACTCCGGGTGTGTGACCGTGACGTGACGGCCGGAAACGGAGAGGGAAGGCGTGGAGCGGAAAGGGAAGGAGTCTGGTCTAGCCCAAGGGCCGGGAGTGTCGAAGAGGACCAATGGGAATGGCGGCCAGCCATGACAACTGGAGGGTAGCGACAGGGGTCACTCGGAGACGTCCCCGGACGTCTCCAGAGAGGTGGAGGTGTGAGGGCGTGCAGCCTGGGGCGCTGCAGTAGGCACGAGCCTTAACGGCAGTAGGCCTCACCCAGGGGAAGGCCCGATGACGGGGGCCGTGGTGGCGGAGTGGAGAGCGGAGCCATGGCAAGGCTCAGCCATCCGAACATAAGCCCGAACGCTGACATGGGTTGGGGACACCCAAGAGGTCCAGCAGGTAGAGATCGTAGGGAGACCTTGATAAGTGACAGCCCAGAGAGGCTAGAAGGCCATAGGCTCAAGGTCTCGGAGGGAAGTGGTGCGTCCACATCCGGAGGGGTCTCCGATGGCATTAGTGATCCCTGATGGTGACTCCGCCGGCGGAGAGACTCCCGGAAAGGGGTGGCCAGGGAAGTCGAAGACTGGGGATCACTGGATGTGGGATGTGGTGCGGGCAGTGGAGGGAGAGCGTCAGGGTGCGGAGACGCGGAGACACGAGCGGAGACGCGGAGACGCGAGCGGAGACGCGGCGCTTGATGGGATCAAGTGACGGCATCAGGGTTTCCCCTGACAGGCGAGGATATCTTCTCCGAGAAGCCGCCCACGGATTAGACTGGGAAATGACATTAGCAGTGAGTCCAATAAACGACAGAACGGTACGAACTACTTGACAATCGCCCTGGCGGTGAGAAGATCGAGACGACTTATATCTCCGATACCATCCGTGTCCGGTTGGTCGCAGGAGTTCGATTCGCTACGGACAACCAGAATGTTACCGTACCAAGACCGGCCTAGTCGGGGAAGAAGCTGACGAACGGAAGCATTATCGTGCTGAGGGGTTCCTTCGCGAAGAACAGATCCCATGGACTGCGGAAGGCAGAATACGGTGTAGGCGTAACCGAGGGGGTCGGGGTCGTCAAAGGGCCAGTTTCGGACTATGGCAGTGGAGTCGGCCCTCTCAGTGACGGTAGCGTGCATCCCAGCAGCGCGGGGAATCCACATAGAGACGTTCAGGTCTCGAGTCGACATGGGGATGTCGACGTTCAGCTTTACGGGCACACGGACCAGCAACGGGGTGGGGTGACTAGTAGGGAAGATCATACCGATGTACGACCTCATCGGACCCCTGCGCGACGGTCAGCACTGCCATGGTAGCGCGAACGTCGCCAACCTTGTGAAGTCTTTCGACAGAGCGATTCACGTCGCCCACAGTTTTGCGAGTAAACAGCGGGATCACAGTTTCGTTAGCCATGTAAGGCGAGCTTCAACGACTAAAGATCTCCCTTCGCCCTTCCGCAATAAATAGGCGAAAGGGAGAAAGGGGGCGATTGCAAGAAAGGTGTGACAAAGCTAGGATGACTAACTGAAAGGAAGCCGATCAACGCGCACTCGTCATCGCTCAGCATTTACAGCTGACTACCACGTCCTGAGACTGTTAACTTCCACCAAAGACCTCAACACCCGCTGTCGGACGACCCTCTAGGGTTACACACGGCTTCCTAAGCCATCACTATAGTCGTCAATCTCGATGAACTCTATTTGCTTTATCAGCCACGAAACACTGTCTGTGGAAGGATACCGACTTCAGGAGGAACTTCTTTGGTACGTGGAACCACCAGTTTTACGGTATGAGCGTGGATTGAATAAGTCTGAAAGAGGTCAAGGATGGTTCAGGTTCCGCCGCGCGCAACGCACCCCTTTCAACGCTGATAGTCCCCGATCCCGAAAGCGGTGCCTCTGAGCACCGCAGCTCACATTCCAAGACCACCGTATCACCGTTTGCGAAGGGCACTCTGTAATTTTCTCCGTGCCCGATGAAGGTATAGTAAGTCCAGTCGTTCAGAGGAACGGAGAACTCGGGATTTGAATTCGCCCCCCCTAGGTTCACCATGATACAATTGTTGGTAGCCCAGCTTACGAATGCCATATTCTGTAACACATCCACGCCGGTCAGCGAGTGCTATTTTCGTTCCAGCTGTGCGCCTACCAAAGCGCGGTGACCCAACGCGTCGTCGTGCTCGAAGTTTCAGCACCTTCTTCAAAGTGAGCAGTTGTGATTGCCAAAGATCATCGAACTCCCCGAGCTCCCAACCATGGCGTTTCCACACCGGCTTCAATAAAACGAATTGGACACCCTTGTCGATGGAGACTTCTGCACCCAGACCATCGACTTCTCCGACGACAGCGCAAGTAAAGACGTCTAGCGTCGCCGGTCCTCCCTTGGTGGAAGTGAAGGCTTTCGGGACTCGGTCGGGTTGTTCCGGTGGATGAAAGTCCCCGGCATACTGCGCTTGCCCAAGAAAATTTCCGCTGTGGCCGTGCATTGCAGATATGAGATGAACCGGTTTGAGGGAATAATCGGGAGTAAGGGTACGGCCGAGCCCCGCCTGGCGTCGACGCTCTTCGACGCCCATCAGGGAGCACAGGAATAACACGGAATCGAGCGAGGTGTGCATTGTGGATCCCCGTCAACTAAGAGACCTTCCTTCCTTTTTAACTCGACGCCCTCGTCAACTTGCAATACCTCCGCCCCGTTCTTTTCTATTTCCCGTCGGCACTCAGCTCATCATTATCTCATCCATTTCGCTCCGATCTCCGGGAGATGGAAGCAGCCCTTCGCACGCACACTCTGGCGCAAGCTGCTCGTCTTCTGAGCGACATATGTCAAGTCCCTTACAGTGCTAAACGAACGTGAAAATCTTTGCTGAGTTATTTGGAGAAACTGGACCCGTCCATCCGAGAAGAAATACACGCAAAAAGCCACAACCACCACCGGGAGAAAACGGAAAAGTAGCCACGTGACTGGGTCCGGCGCGCGTGCTGGCAAACGAGTCCGCCACAATGAGGTACCTAACGAAGTATGGCGTGACGTACAGAGCAAGGAGCAAAGTACAGAGGAGTTGATCGCAGGCCGCTTCTTGGCAGTGCAGACCGACACAGTTGTCGAGAAGTGCATTTCCAGGTTTAAACAACTCAAATCACGCGAACTGTTGAGGACTCATACTTTACATAGATTTATCGACGGGACGAGTAATGCTGCTCTCTCCAAGAAGATCTGTGTAGTGTGCGCGCGCCGGATGTTCGCCGATCTCTTTCAGACGATGGGGTTCCACGACATCCCGAACGCGCAAGTCCTCAAGCCTACGCACCCCCACTCTCAGCATCGTCTGGTTGACGGCTCGCTTTTCCACTCCAATGTTCAACCGAATGGTCTCAACGATGTCTGTAATGCCTGTCTACGACAACTCAACAAGTGCAGCCAGCCGAAATTATCACTAGCAAACAACATGTGGCTAGGCGAAATACCGTTTCAACTAGCGATACTCACACTCCCGGAGCAGCTCCTCGTTGCGTTGTACTTCCCTGCGGCGTACATTTTCAAGGTCTATCCAAAGAATGTTAGGCCTCCGGTGGATGCGAACGTCGCTGAAGAAACAATACCCATCACCAACGAAAAACTGAAAGGCAACGTTTCGACTTTCAGTCTTCCAATCTCTAGCATCGCACACATGGCAGCGGGAAATATCGTTCCGCGGCCCTCCCTGTTGCTGGCCGCCGTCATCGGAGTCACTTTTGTAGGAGTGGATCGCACCGCTTTGAAGTTTATGCGAGGAACACTGCGCGTACGACGGCAACGTGTATTCGAGGCCATTCTGTGGTTGAAGGCGAATAACAGATTATACGCGAATGTTAATATCTCAGAAGAGAACTTACGGTCGCTTCCGGAAGACGGGATACCGGACGAGATTTCACTCAACGTAACGTTGTCTGACGACATAAACGCTGTGGGCAGGGAGCACGCTGGGTACGTCCCAGAAACTCACGAACCAGACGACGAGCCAGAAAGTGACGACGAAACGCAACGAATCTCGCTCTGAAATAGAAAACTCAGACGAAGAAGACTCGGACGGGGACGGTGAGGAACCGACGGGCTTAGCAGGCTCAGGCATACCAGGTAAGTAGAGTTATTGGTGTTCACCATATTGAGCTGAACAATACAAAGAAAAATCGCGGGACTCTGACCGTGAGTGTAATTATGGTTTCCTAATGCAAAAAAGCTGACTGTATCCCTTTCAAACCCAGCCGTTTTTCCGCTACAATCTCACGGCGTTCTTGACGTTGGGGGGGCCAACATTCCCGACTCTACGCTGTTCAGTCACGCAGCAGAGAACGTAGTCCCTAGCTTCTATGCGCAAGACTATGGGGTACAAAAGGGACATGCGTTTGTCAACGAATATGCTCGTGTAGATGAGAACAATGAACGTTTCGACGGGGGTGCTGCAGACCCAAACCACCTGCTAGGAGCATTTCCTGCCTTGTTCCCGTATGGACTGGGCGGGTTCGAGGTGGATCGCAGAGACAAAGTCACATACGAGGAGCATGTTCGATGGGCTTTACAGTACGCAGACGGACGATTCCGAAAACACACGCGGTTTGCTTTCCAGGTTTTCGGTGTGCTGCTCAAGCGGCAGGTATGCCGGTCGGCCAGTTTCCAGATCGATCACAATCACTATCTCGCCAACCAGACGGCCTTTAAGCTTCTCAAACCAAGAGATTTCATCAAAGCAAGTGAAGAAGAGATGAGTGGGCGGGCCATATCGAACGCCACTATTCGGTTGTTACGCCGACATATAACGACGGTACGGGCTCGAGTCCAGGGGACCGACGAGAGCCGGGTAGCCATCCGCGCACAAATTTGGGGCATGACCTTGAAGTACAACCCACCCACGCTGTGGGCCACTATCAACCTGTCCGATTCCAATGACCCCATCGCTCAAGTGCTTGCAGGTCAATCGATAGATATGGACAACTTTGTCGCGCGCACTGGGATGAACGCCACAACCAGGGCACAAATTATCGGTGCAGACCCATTTGCCGCCGCAGAATACTTTCATCTTGTCATCCGACTTTTGCTTAGAGAGCTGATTGGTGTCGTTAGCAGTCCAAGAGGTTCGATCACTCGTCAAGAAGGTATCTTCGGCCTTGTAAACGGGTACATCGGTACCGTGGAGGCGCAGGCTCGTGGATCTCTGCACTTGCACGTGTTATTTTGGGTGCGCGACGCTCCGACAAGTTCCGCTATGCAAAAAGCGCTCCAAAGCGAGGAGTTCAGGCATAAAGTCAAGACTTTCATTCGACATAACATTCGAGCAGATGTCTCTGGTCCCCCCCCCCCCTGTACGGAAACGCGATCGCAAGAGTGTTTCGTATTCCAGACCTGTTGATCCGCGCAAAACCCGATTACGCCAACAAAGCTCGTCTAGCGGAAGACCGCTGCGCGGCCGCTCTGCAGACTCACGAGTGTACCCCTTTCTATTGCTTGAAAACTATCAAGGGCCGGTTGGTCTGTAAGCGCGGTTATCCCTGGCCTACCTACTCAGACGATTGGGTGGACGCGGAAGGAAATTGGGGACCGAAAAGGAGATATCCATTCTTTAACACATGGAACCCCCCCATCTCGCAGGTCATCCGCTCGAACATGGATATCAAGCTCCTAACGAACGCATGCGAAACGAAGGACATTGCCTTCTACATCACACTGTACATTGCCAAAAAACAAGTACAGGCAGCTAACGCGTCTGCCGTGCTTGCGAAAAGTCACGCATTCGAAAAGCAACCTGCGGAACGGACCGGCCCCGATAGCGGTTCCAACAACAAATCTTCTGACATACGCAAAGTGAACAAACGCCTACTAGAGCAATGCGCAAATACGCTCAGCAGGCAATATGAGTTGAGCGGTCCCGAGGTCATGAGCTATCTGATGGGGTGGGGCGACCGCTATATTTCTCACACATTTGTCAAGATTTATTGGGATTTGATGGTGTCGGCGCTTCATCGACATTACCCTTTACTCAAAACCACGTAAGTAATCTGTCCCTTTCACTGTTTCATGGGTTTTCAATCCGACTCAAGACATACTGAGAAAGGCAAATCGTTTGCGCCAAGCGCTACCTCAGAGGTGCTCAATCTTTCACTTAGTGCGTAAACACTATTGACATGTCCGCAGCATACGCCGGTCGTGATGGAAAACGGTCAATTTATTCTTCAAGATCAACTTGGGCAGTACGCCGACAGGGGGGAGTACCTCGTCAACATGAGTCTATATGACTTTTTCCTCAGAACTTACCACGTTTCCGCCGATACCCCCCCCCCCCCCTCTGAAGAGCAGGAAGACCATGACATGAAACCTCGGCGTGGTCGTCCCCTCAAACAACGAATACCTTATATGAACGACCGCGAAGGGGCCAGAGTGATTCGTGGCGATAATCAGGAGACGGCGTTGCATCTCATAGGACGGTGGCTCCCACGCGACGATGATTCCAACGTCGAAAACTATGCCGCACAAATCCTGCTTCTCCTTAAGCCTTGGAGAACCCTCGATGATTTGAAGGGTGCTTGCGAGAATTTCGCTAGCGCAAAGAATGCTTTCCTAGCGTCCAGTGGTCCAGACGTCCTACGAACGGTTGAGAATATTCAGTACTATCACGACAGTTCTGCGCAAGCAAGACGCCGGCGCGCTCCTATGGAAGACACGGAAGACACAGAGGGTGCGGTCCCCGAGTCGGAAAGCAACTTACTGGAGCACATGCGAACAGCATACCTCGGACCTGAGAGCATCGAGCAAGCCAGAGAAGAACAAGTTTCAGCAGCGGAACGCAAATACGGCGAAGAAGGGCTAGCTGTAGCCGAACGTGCGCATATATTCGCGACAGACGCTGCACTAGGCGTAGCTCCAACGATGCCGCTCGCCCAAAGGGCCACGGACGAAGAAATATCAATTTTCAAGCAGTGGGAATCAAAAGTCATTGCTATCACACGTTCTCAACGCGGCCCTGTTCTGCGGCTTCCTTTATTCGACAACCCAGACGCTGTCTTCAACATGAACGACACCGTTTTTCAACGCGCTGAAGGGAACGTTATTCTTCTCAAAGGGGATGGGGACCGAACACGAACGGAAGTCCAACAGAAAGCAGTGGATATTCTCAACCGTGAGCAACGTCGGGCGCACGATATCATAGAGCGACATTTGCGCAACACTATAAGCGGCGTTAGGCAAGACCAGCTCTTGATGATCGTTCAAGGCGAAGGAGGGACAGGGAAGACGGTGCTCCTGAAAGCGGTCAGTCACACATTCGATTATATGGACTCGACGGTGCTCTTGGCCAAAACAGGCACTACGGGCATATCTGCGAGCTTGATTGAGGGCCAAACCCTTCATCAGTGGGCCGGGATCCCGATAACTAGCCCGAAAAAAGAGGACTGGGTCGCGGGTAAGTTTCACGCCCCGGTCATTCATATCCACATAACACGACCCACAACAGGTGCCAGTAAGAAGATACAGGAACGTCGTAAAACCAATATCCTTCCCGTCCTATACTTGGTGATAGACGAAGTTCTCGATGTTAACAAAGAGAACTTTAGCCCAACTATCGGAAATTCTTGGCCACGTCAAAGCCACGACGGGCGAAGCCCCGCCCTCCAGACCTTTTGGAAACGTGAACGTTATACTCTTCGGGGATCCTCATCAATTCCCTCCAGTCGGAAACCCACGAGGCGCATTATTCGACACGAGGACCGACTCTACATTACTCTCGCAACTTGGCCTGGCTTTTTATCGACAATTTGACGTCGTCGTAACACTAACTGAGCAAAAACGTGTGCAGGACCCCATATGGAATTCGTTTCTGAAGCGACTCCGACATGGCTTGTGTACGGAAGAGGATATTCGCATGCTGAGGGAGTTACTGGTCACCGACTGCAAGGTACCCACCGATTGGCTCAACGCTCCTTGGAGAGACGCAGTATTAGTTACTCCTCGGCATTCTTGTCGGGTGCTCTGGAATTCTGCGGCACTCCGGCGTCACAAAACAATGTCGGGGAATCACGTATACTTGTCGACAGCAGAAGACACCGTTGGACGCCTGCGACGCCCTCTTACTCTAGCGCAACGCGTGTTAGTCGCCGGTCTCAACGAAGAAGAAAACGGGAAAGCTTCACGAGCGTGTTGAGATCGCAGTTGGGATGCGGGCTATGGTTCTTTGGAACATAGCGACGGAGGCTGATCTAGCTAACGGTACCAGAGGAGTCATAGTAGACCTCAAATTGGACCCACGAGAGAAGCCGACCCTCGTCCAAGACAAGCAAGGCCGTATCATTCTCGACTTTCCCCCCACCGTAGTCTTTATTAAGATCGACCACTTCTCCTTCCCCCCTTTCGAAGGCCTAGAACCCGGCGTACTACCCATCAGCCCCACCGCATCGTCCTTCACGGTCACGACCCATTCGAAGGAAGTTTTGTCATGTCGACGACTTCAATACGCGCTGACGCCGGGTTACGCGTTCACTGACTACAAGTCACAAGGCCAAACAATTCCTTACGTCGTGGTTGACCTCGAAAAACCTCCGCGAGGAGGATTAACCCCCTTCAACGCGTACGTCGCCCTATCGCGGAGCCGGGGCAGGCAATCTATCAGAATCTTGAGGGGCTTCGATCCTAAACTTTTCACCACACATCCATCCGAGGCACTCAGGGAAGAAGACCGGCGTCTAGATCATCTAGCACGACAGACTCGTGAGAGATTTCCGCACCACCAGGGCGATGTCACCGGAGGAAGCGGGGAGACGACGAATGAAAGCTAACAATAGATATGAAATGCGGTGTACGCTCAACTGTAGTTACAGGAAGACTGGCTTAGACGCTTAAATACATAAAGCATCGCCATTGACTAAACCCACAACTGGCATCTAGATGTCGGCCCCGGCCCCTTCGCCTCTTTCTGCGGCCCTGTATACGCGTTGTCACCATTGCGGCAAACTTCGTCCTGCTCGTGTCTGCTCGGCTTGCAAGATCGTACGGTACTGCGGCACCGACTGCCAGAGCAACGACTGGAACGACCATCGAACGGCATGCGCGAAGCTACAATCATCGGGACCGCTTTCAAGCGATCCCAAAGTGGCCAGCATCCTCCAGTTCTTTCTTAAATACGTCGAAGAGTGGCGTGATCCTCTCGCCCAGTGGGCCCTCTTTGCGGTAAACTTCGCTAATCGATCTCCTGATTTCTTGGAGAAACACTTGTGAGTGTTCGGTTAGGAACTCCTGATGAAAAGGGGGAAGACCATACCACAGTTTTGCCGCTGCGTTGACCACGCGCCCTGGTCATGAGGAAGAAAACAACCCTACGCGCCTGTCTGCGTTCAAGGTGCGCCAAAAAAAAAAAGGCCGCGTACGATCCAATAGTTTGCAGATCGACAAAACCGGAATATTCTCAGATGAGGCAGTGCAGGCGGTGCTACTCAACGAGGTACTGCCAGGCCAAACCCAGGCAGAACAAGAAGCGTTTCGAAATGAGTTCGATGCACTTGAAAAAGGGCCACGCATCATTCGCATTGTCGTGTCCACCCAAGTGGTCTGTACCATGTTCACCGTGCCTCTCGATGGCATCCTTCCCGAGAGTATGGCGAGCTGGTTGGGGGAGACAGGTATCTGCGCTTTTTTTAGTCTCGTTTACGAGAAAGAGTTTCAAACAGCTCTGAGCACGGGAAACGGTACGCAACCCCGCAGGTAGCATTGTCTTAACTCGTTCCTCTGACCTCAATACAGTTAAATTGGCGCAAATCCGAGCGACCGAACTTTACATTTTCATGACGACGGGTAGAGTGGTAGACCTGCCTTCGGTGGAAGTAGCGTGAAAGTGTCAAGGAGGCTCGAAATAAGAGAGAGAACGAAAGAAACCGGAGCATGACGTAAAGCGTGACTTGTAACTTTGATACTGAATCATGAGAACTCACATTACGACTATAGACATCTCATTCCTAGGTTCGCACCCAATCGCCCGCGAACAACATAGTCTCTGACCGACACTCTCACTACTCCTCTCGAAAGCACCTGCATCTCACTAGAAGCGCCTCCAGTGCAGTAATTCAAAGTTTACTGCCCTGGGCCATACCACCTTAAAGTTGATGCTCTCCGTCAGTTACACACGAAACAACCACGACCCCAACGAAAGCCTCAATCCTCCAAAGTGCGAATCACAAAATTATGAATGGATTCGTGTTCTTTTTCCCCTAGCCTGCTTGCAAGGGGGCGAAATAGGGCTAAAAGTCGACGACCAGATATGGTTTGCGTTGCCGTTAGTAATAGATGGCACTACTCCCTGCTCGTCCCACTATTCCATCTGCCTCGCCAATTACACACTCCATCAAATTCCTCTGGACGGTGTAACCTACGTGCATCTGCGTCACCCTCCCCCGGAGGAACTCATTGCATGGGAGAAGATTGACGAAAGTTGCATCGCCGACCTCACCTGCTCGACTAATATCCCAATGCTTGTAGCGGGAAATAGAGTCACCATCGCGGGTGGCAAACGAGTCAACGGCTTTGTGACGAGTGCTGACTGTCTAGGAGTGTGTCGGGTCCGCGTCGCAGTCAACGGCCATTCGATAAATTCATTATCTCCTACATTAATAACGGATATCATGTCCCCCATTCGAATACCCGATGATGAAGTCTTGGTCGACAGGGAGTTCCTGCGACCTCACTACATCACAGGGTCTGTCGCAATTCTCACTGGGCACCGGGTTATCATCTTAGAGGGGCCACATCAACTCAAATTTGGGTATGTGGACCGGATACAACAGACGGAACAAATCGCCATTTTAACCATAATGTCGAACGACATTATCATCAACAACATTGCGCTTTGCAATGTAACCCCGCTGTTCCTTCCGGGAGACGCCGTGAAGGTTACCCACGGCTTCTATGCGGGACAAGAAGGGGTTATACTTCGCAACTTCGTTCTCAAACCTTTGCGAAGCCGCACCCTCCAATTTCCCCCCGGCGGCATTCAAATCCTAATGGTAATTAAACCTCCCCGACAGTTCAGCTAACTCAAGACCATCGCCAGGATAAACTGAATTCCCAGGTAACGGACTGAACCTATCTTAAAGTTCCAACCTGAAGAACGTTAGGTGCTCCTGCCAACGCAATTCATAACTTTCGCGGGAGATCCCCGCCACATTCAAACTGGTCCCCGACCGGCGCAAGCAACTGGCAGACATTGGCTTACTCGAGCAAATCTGGCGGGCAAACGGGTGGACGTTCGCGTGAAACGAATGGAACAAGGAAGAATATCCCAAGTGTTACATGCCGCCATCGGAGAGGAAGGTTTCATCGAGCCCGCCATGGCCCTCACAGAAGAAGATTTGCGGTACCACATAACGGTGCAACTAGACAACTCTGGTAGCAAGGTCCGGATACTTCCCAGATGGCTGGAACCCGTGCACGACATCCACCCTGCGCCACTTAACGTAGGCCAAGAGGAGCGCAAGTACGGGGAGAGTCGCGTGGTGTAATTATCGACGCAGACGTGACCGGCCACCTAGACTACTTGGGATACTATGGTTTTGTGCGCGACACGCAGACATCTCAAGTGGTAGACGTCCACCGTGGTTACGCGAGAAGGCTGCCGTCTACTCTCTGCGCGCTTCGACAGGAGAAGTCTCTGCCGGTCTACGAACGCCAGAGGCCTGACTACGTCAGCTACGAAGCCTCAATTTCGCCTAACGGCCTCCACCAGCGTTGGGCAACACGAGAATTTGGACCATCTCAAAGTGTGACCCGAGACGCTACAAAGTACGTAGCCTGTAACTTCTTGCAAAACTCTGGAGAGTACAGAATAGACAGTCTATCGAGGGGGGGGGGTGGTCATAGAACACCATCAGCGGGCTTTAAATAACTCGAACCATCACCCACAACGGGCAACAACAGCCCAAACGGATGGACATCAATTAAGAAAGAAACATCCCGAGACGACTTAAAAGACTGGGAGTCAGGACCCACCCACTCTCACCTGAACCGCTCACTCAGCTCCAATGTCCAACAGAG